ACTTTTTCATAGCAGCCACCTACTCAAAATTTTTTTGGGGCGAAAAAAAATAAAAATAAAAACAGGTCTAGGCATCCTATTATAGGCTTAAATGCTACAAAATGAAGTCAACACAAAAGGCTGGGTTAAAATTTAAACATTGAATTTTGAACTTTTAATCAAACCTCTGCAATGATAGATGGGAAAACTGTAACGACTAGGAAGAAAAGGACTTTCCTCAACTGTTGGGGGACAAAACATGAGCATTTTTAAGTTGATTGAGGACCAGAATCAAATTTTTTTTTTGCAAATCAGAAAAAAATGAAGAGGCGAATCCGAGAACCAACAAATTAATTTGGTGTGGCCTAAGGTAAATTTCTTTTATTTTAATGCTGGATGATCACTTTCCTGGCAGGCCTCCTTGTATGTGGTGATCACCAGTACCTAACGTAAACAACAATATTCGAATGAAAGCTCATCTGTGTTGGTAGAATACATAGTTAAAGAGTTTGACTTGTTCCAACACAATAAGGAGAACTCACCATAAATTTTCGGCTGATCCCGTCAACCTTCGTCAGATTTGTGATGCAATCGCTGACTTTCCGGAAGTCGGAAACGTGATGACGTCAGGAGTGCATCAAAAGTGCCCCAAAGAACAAAAGTGTGGCGTGATTTACCACATTCGGTGCGCAGGCCAAAATATCAGAGGACCTTGCCCAGAGACATACATAGGGGAAACAGAACGGTCTCTCAAGACTAGATTTCTGGAACACAGGCGCCCCAGTTCAAACACATCGGAAGTGTCGCAACACATACACATCGAGTCCCCCGGACATACAGTTACATTGGACAAGGTGCGCATTCTAGATACGGAGCAGGATTACTTTGTGAGAGGCGTGAAGGAGGCAGTTTACATCAGGGCCCACCAACCCTCTCTGAACCGTGATGGTGGGAGATACCGTCTTCCCGCCACTTTTGATGCACTCCTGACGTCATCACGTTTCCGACTTCCGGAAAGTCAGCGATTGCATCACAAATCTGATGAAGGTTGACGGGATCAGCCGAAAATTTATGGTGAGTTCTCCTTATTGTGTTGGAACAAGTCAAACTCTTTAACTATGTAAACAACAATAGCCTGGAATCCATCGGTGAATGCTTTATCTCTGCTCCGTTCCTCCGCTCTGCATTCACGTGCAGGCAGAGCGGAGGAACAGAGCGGAGATGAAGCATTCGCCGATGGATTCCAGGCTAAAACAACAAGCTGTCGGCCCAAAAAAAGTCTAGGGTCGGGGGGGTTTTCATAGGGTCGGTCGGGTAATATAACCGGAAACACAACATTTTTTTTCCTAGGCCTAGGGGCATCATCACTAGATAGCTTTAAACAATGTTTAAAATTAGATGTGCAAAGGGCCAAAGGCTATGTGTAACAAGTCATTCAGTGTACCGGTAATATAGCTGCGTGCATGCCAAGTTATTGCTAACCTGGTATGTTATGCCAAAGAGCAAAAAAAACTAACAATTGCCAAATATTATTTCTTTTGTGAAAGCTGGATCAGTAGATAAGTAATATACATCTGTACATCAGGAATGTGGTAAATACTGATCATGATCCTGACTGACCAAACAGTTGTCATCATGATAAATTACTTATATAATAATAATACTGAATACCTCAGCTTCTTATCTTATATGATTTGGTGTTGCATACTAGTATGCCAAAAAAAAAACTGTGAAATTTATGGTTCCTGACATTAAATGAAAATTCATAGTATTCAAAAATCTCATTGACAGAAGATGAGATTTCCTTGTGCAAGGTACATTAATTATGCATAGAGCAAGGGCACAGGTGTTAAAAATAATGTCATCAACAGGGCTGTGCTTTTACAGCACTGATTATTGGTCTTACATCACAAATGATAGGATTATGAATGATAGTAGTTTTGGTATGGGGACTATGGACCAGAGTTTTTCTTATGTATGAAGAAAAGAATGATACAACTTACATGGTCGATGTGACAAAATCTTCTACCAAACTATTGAATAAACATTATTACAGATTTTGATCATGACAGATAGATTTGTGCGGAGCTATAGTCAAACTTGCCCAAGTGACCAGTGACCTCTATAAGCCATCCATCTCACCATATTTTGCCCTGAACAGTTGAAAACAGTCCTTTTCTTCCTACTTGTTACACTTATCCCATCTTTCAATGCAGTGGTATCATTAAAAGGTCAGAACTCATTGTTAAATTTTGGACCAGCCTGGTGTGTTGACTTCATGGCTCCTATCGTACCATTTCGGGCCATAACAGGAAACCTAGGCCTGTTTTTATTTTTTTTTTTTTTTCGCCCGCCCGCTCCATAATTTTTCTACAAAAATCCGTTAACCAAGAAATTAAGGTGGTGTGGCCTAAATAACAACTTTTTTCTCACACTGACTCACAAATTTCCCCCATAACAGTTAGAAGGGACTTGTCCAATATAACCAGCACTTTAGTATTCAGTATGTGGGGGAAGAATTTTGGGACCGCACTTAGCCCAATCAGTCTATGACAACTAAGTCAGATATTATTTTCAAGTTGGGGAAAACACTTTTTTTCATGATAACCTACCAGAAGTCTTGATAAAGTTGGCTAGTTCGCTATTGATTTTGACAGCATGACAGTGTGAAAGTTTGCACAATTCAATAATGTGCTAGCTGGGTCACTTTAGGTCAATGGGGCAATCTACTATAAAATGGGTAGAAATTTTGCTGCAGTTTTCTTGATATCTGTCTTGTCGTCATGCTTATTACATAAAATTTATAAGAAGATAAAAAAAGTTTCATAAAATTCATAAGATTAAGAAGATCACTTTCACTTTTTTCTCAGTGATTGTCTTAAAGTTAAACATGTTTGTATAAATGTTCAAGACATGATATCTTAAATGCTGACATCCTGACCACGCATTTTAATAACATTGCTTTGCATGTCTAACCCTTGGAAGATGAGGAACAACAGATGCTAAACAAACCAGATAGCGAGTTCTATCAGACATAAATTATGGATGACGTGTGGGTGTGATTACTAGTACATTTACAGGTATGGTAAAATTTTAGTTGTACATGTGCACAGTAGTAGCTTGTGGAAGACGGCGGTGAAAGACCAGTGAAGATACAAGCTAAGGAAATGATAAATTTTCTGTAGAGAAGGATGTAGAAAGTTTGGGAATTAAAGAGAGTGATAGATCAAACTTTAAAGAATTCCAGTAATGCTACAGATCTACAAAGCTATATATGTAAAAAAAATTGGTTTGAGAAGGCTGTACTGTGTAGTATGGGGCTTGTGTATTTGCAGAAAGTATTTCCAAATTGCAGAACAAAATTTTGACTCTACTGCAATATTGCAGAAGAAAAGCTTGACGCTTCTGCAATATTCATATTGCAGAGCATTTTCTTATTAACATCCACTGTTTTGCTTTTAACATTCAAAACTAATTGTTTTTAAAATTTTTTGCTTTTTAACTTTTTTGAAAAGAACTTGTTTTGCTTGACTGTGAAACAAACCATTGATTTCACCTCGTCATCATGGCTGATGACAGAGGCAACAATTTTCTTGCCAATTTTCCCTGTCCAAGCATACTGGTTTCCTGGTGTACACCCTGCTACCATGACCAGCTGGTACTGTGGGAGGAACAATCCTCACCTTCAACCCACCTTGAGGTGACAGACAACAGGACTGGGAGAGGAACGCCCCCCTCCCCACCTCACCTTTCAAAATCTCAACTGTCACAAAATACAGAGACTGGCAGATAACAAAATGATGTGGTACAAGTAACGTTACCTGCGTCATGTGTGTGTGTGTGTGCATGTGTGTGTGTGTGAGCCCTAGTGTTCGTTTTAGCGTCCAAACATGAATTGATGCAAACCTTCCGTAGAGTGAAAGTGTGAGCATGTCCTGTGTAACATAATAATCTTACACTTACAGGCACCACGCCTACACAACACGCACCTGCACATACAATTTGATTTGGTCTTCCACTGACCTGGACTGATCATAACCCCCATGTTAGTATGAATCATGGACAGTGAGATGCACTTCTGTAATGAACTGTTGGATAAATGACCGATAAACATCCCAGCTGTCACCAATTCCCTCTGCTATGTCCATGTTTCAATCGATAACTTCCCATAGTCAGAAATTCAGAACATATCTGCTAGCCTTACCAGATGTGGACATGGACCTAGTCCGGGCTTGATCGGCCCCAGGTGTGCCCGCTTTCGGTGGTTCTTCCTGTGGCATCCCGAAGTGACTACGGCTACGCTACCCCGTGGAAAATCGGTCGCGAGTTCGTGAGATTCTGTAATATTTTTTGCCCAGGTTTGCAGACGGCAGCCCCTCCTCACTCCCACCGGCAGATCCGGCTGATGACGTCAGACTAAATTATGTAAAATTATGAGCATCCGTCAACTTCCGGTAGAATCAATCCGCCCGAATAATCTTTAGCGACATTTCTACCGATCTTGGCGAGAAGCTGCAACTTCGATCCTCCTAGCTTTCCTGTTTTTATATATTTCTATGTATTACTTTTTATTGTTGAATGATATTCCAGCAAAGCAACTTATTGACTCTTTGGAACTATTTTGATGATGCAGATGGATATATAAATAATCCGGTCTTCCCTTTCCGCTTTCTCTTTCCCTGCTTGCCGCCATTTTGGGTGGTTGTGAAGCACGAGGTAGGTCGGCAGAATAAGAAAAAAATCCACTTTTTGCGCGATGTTCACTCTTGAAACAGTAACGCCACATATGTATATACTCGTAGGAAATCATATAGTGATGAATTTATACAACATTGGCTCATTTATTTAAAAATACTTGGTAAAATCTGTAGGCCATGCTCTATGTGTAACTTGAGTCTACTTTTGGAAAAATTCACCGCTACCAAACGCTCTATACTATATAGGGGTAGCGTTTCACGACCACGAGCATGTTTGCGGTATAAATGTGTATACGATAAATTTACACAAGAAATCATTTTTCAGTATATTTTTTCGTCAACGTTGCACTTTGAAACTGGATCCAAGCGCACGCCGATCTCGCTATTGCGAAATCCCACGTGCGCTTGGAATTTTGGATCCTAGTCCAAGATCCTTGGCTGCCCCAAGAAGCAGCCTTCTGAATCTCCTTTCCTAGCTCCGTCTTTTAGAGGTAGCACATGAGTTCTAGCCTTAAAGCATATCTTTTGGTGTGGCTGCAAGATATTGGCCAGGCAGTATTCATTTGCCACAGGAAAAAAAAGATACCATTGAAAAAAATGTTTTCTGATGTAACTATACAAAAATTGTTAGAAAAAAGTGAACTGATCGTCCGCCAGTATGCAAAGGACTACGATGACATGTCCATGTTTTTATACAAAAGCTCATAAAACACGCCAAAAATACTGTATCTAAAGCTTATGGAGACAGGACAGTTATGTCCTGTCTCCTACCACCACAGCCACAACACACGTCATGCTAGCCGAAACACATACTGTTTAATGAAACCCAAAACGAACGCCCTGAAGAAGACTTTCATTTATAGATCCTTAACAGTTTGGAACACTTTGCCACATGAGGTACAAGCAGCAACTAAGAGTAGGTTTAGGCAGGAGTTGTTAGAGCACATGCGTACATAGGCACATGATGATAGGCACATGTGATGTTACTTTTAAATGTTAAGTCTAATGTTGTATGTAAATAATGTTGGAATTTTGATGTGGTGTATTTGTATTATTGTATTTTAACTCCAGGAAGATTAGCTACATACTTGATTTTGTATGTCTTGTGTGTCGCTAATGGAGTTTAATAAAGCACATAAAGCTTAAACCTCTGCTTGGAGAGTAGATGAGTTCCAAAATTACTAGTACTTGCTGTACTCTTTAAACATCATGGCATCTATACACCAAAAGAAAAAGTCTTTATTTTAGCCAATGGAAGAAAGTGTTTCACCACCAGGTAATTAATCATGCAGTGGACAATGGCTGGACAATGGCAAAATACAAGTTGCAAGTAACAAATGACTATCTTATATCTTGAGTTTATAAAACTAACAGTCAAGAAGATGGAAAGGCCTATGATGGCATGGACATAAGGAGCAGTTGATGGTAGCTGTATAACCTATAATGCAGAAAATATACTATAGAATCCTGCTACTACGCTGGGCTGCCTGTTGGTGGTGGTAGTACCAGTGGTACAAGTAGGAGAGAGAAAATTCAGGGTCAGGTATATGAAAGGAGACATCTTGTATGCTTCCTCATAACTGGTCCTGATACATCTTCACATTTGGGAATGTCTGCAACCACAAGTTATAAAAATTTGCTGTCTTCTTTCAAATTCAGCATTGTGGCAGGAGATAGTTAATTGTTATTCTTCCTTCCCAGAACTGTGGCAAAACCTTTCTCTATTTTCCAAGAAAGGCCATTGGCAGACTTTGCCGTACTTATCCACCCTATACATGTACATGTATCTCTGTTTTTTGTGTCCCTTCAAAATTTTGTAATGCATCTTGCACACTTGAATTGGTGAATGGCTTAATATTTTTATTTGTTGAACAGACAACCTGAGCTGGCAGGATGCGTGGTTTACCCCCCTGTAGTAAGACCTACGCTACCCCCCGACGTCCTTTTGAGAAGGAGCGTCTGGACCAAGAGTTGAAGCTGATTGGTGAATATGGGCTTCGGAACAAACGTGAGGTAGGTTCAAAGCTGACTAATACCCCTAGAATTTATTTCGCTGCTCTGGAATTTCAGTGAAATCTTTTCTAATGTAACTGACATCGGGGAAAAGTTTTCTTCCAAACTACATTTTGATATGTAGGCTAATAGTAATACACTGTATGTTATTGTTCATAATTATGCCATTTATAAAGTGATGAAAGGTTCATGCGCGTCATCTGAATGTCTCAGTAGAGGCAAAGTATGACTGATTATGACCCTCTGATTGCCTGGCCTGCTTTTTGTATTATTTAAAGACACCAAGTAATGATAAGTTTTGAGGGTTTGTAGTAGTAAAACATCATGTGAAGTGCATGTTCCCTGTGCTGTAGGTCTGGCGTGTGAAGCTGACCTTAGCCAAGATCCGTAAGGCTGCTCGTGAGCTGCTGACCCTGGAGGAGAAGGACCCCAGACGTCTGTTTGAGGGTAAGGAGCAACATGACAGCTATACTGAACATGTGCTTCATACTAGTAAGGCCTAGGAAAAATATTTCCAGTTACGCAACCAACCCTAGCAAAAACTCCTGACCCTTTTTTTGTTTTGATGCCAAAGACTGAAAGAGATCTAAACTTTCTGATCTGACACAGTGGTTCATACAAGTATGCTGATACCGAATCAGAACCATACCTAATGTTCATGTCCCGAAAAATTGGATGATGTTGAACATACCAGTGTACTGATGCATTTCTGTGTATTTCTCATCACTTGTGTTAAGATGTACATGTAAAAGAAGATTAAATGACAGTTGCTGATATTCCCCCCAAAAGGATTTGGAGCCATTTTTATCCTGTACTGTAGTATTCCACTTGTGGTGTGCTTGAGTTGAGCCTCCCACATGTAGTTCTGCCTTTGCCATACCGCGGCACTGCAGGTATGCTGGTGGGGGAGAGTATGTCAGAGGAGATCAGGCGAACCTTTGTCCATTGAAGGTTCCATGTGGAGACCTCTGATACATAACCAAAACCACAGAAAGCTCCTCAAGAAGTAGTCTGTTCCTATACTAGATAACATTACAATAGGTGCTGCTTAGTGAGTAGCACATTTCATGCTGGTGTCTACTGTACTTAGTCTCAGATGAAAGATGGATCTCCATGTGCATGATCTTGAGTGTACTCAAGTACAGAAGACAAGAAGAAAAAAATCCACTTTTTGCGCGATGTTCACTCTTGAAACAGTAACGCCACATATGTATATACTCGTAGGAAATCATATAGTGATGAATTTATACAACATTGTGCATGATCTTGAGTGTACTCAAGTACAGAAGACTGTCCATATTATAATGAAGTAGGGCTGCATACTTAAACGTAATGTCAGTTTCAGGTACATTAACAGTTTTACAAATTAGCATATGTTCTTCTAACAACAATAGAAACAATAATCAACTTGACAGTCTTCATTCAAATGAAACAGGACAGAACTAGGTGGCCTTGTGTCTTGGAAAAAAAACAGACCATACAGATGGTTAAATTCCTAGTTTCCTACGGCACTCTAGTTGTCCCTGAAAGATGTCTGTTCTCTCTCTAGATGTCACAAAGGTCACCTCCATGTCACATGCTAGGGAAGTATAATTGGTATACTGTATAGTACCTGGCTGTACTTAGTAAGTATTTTGAACCTTGCGGTACTGTACTAGCACCAGTTACTATATAGTCCCAGTCTGTATAATAAAGTACCTGTCTCCTACCCCAGGTAATGCCCTGCTGCGTCGTCTGGTGCGTATTGGTGTGCTGGATGAGGGGAAGATGAAGCTTGATTACGTGCTGGGTCTGCGTGTGGAGGACTTCCTGGAGCGCCGTCTGCAGACTCAGGTGTTCAAGCTGGGCCTGGCCAAGAGTATCCACCACGCCCGCGTGCTCATCCGCCAGAGGCACATCAGGTAGGATGGAGGCTCTGCTGCTGGGGTGATGTTAGCTTGTAATGGTTACACTAGATGTGAATGGGAGATGGTCTGGACATACAAATGATACACTTGTCTTTTAGCATAGACATCGGTGTTCTAGCCAGCCTTTCTGTCATCTGAATTTTGTATGACACAATATCGTGGTGCACGGTAATCCTGAGGGATCCGAGGGCATCATGCCCCTCCTGGGAAAATTTTCACATTTTGCCCCGCTAAATGTTTTCCCTGCATTTTGAGGGGGAAATTTTGCTGGTAGACTAGGCTTACTAGTAGTTTCTATATCTATATGACGCTGGCTAGAACACTGTCCTATCAGGCTGATGATATGTATCCTGGAGATTTGCACTGTCAGGACAGAAAGTGAAGTAATAACGTAGTGGAGTGGTACATACCTTGTATTTTAGCCAGTCTAGATACTTAAGCTGACAGCTTCTATCCTTTGTACAACAAATTGACCACCACTGCCCTCTGTGTATACAACAAACTGACCACTACTGCCCTCTGTACAATACATAGGCCCGGTTAGCTGGAGTCAAACTGATAAAGACTTGAAATGTTTCTGAAGGGTCAATTGGGCATAAGCCTTATACCCTTCCTTCTACCCAGTAGCAATGGTGCTGGTGGCAGGGTAAGTACATGGATTGACTTCTTTAACAACATGTACTTCTGTTGTAGATGGTATGCTTTGTTTGGTATTTGATGGGAAGGAAAGGGTTTTAAAGTGTCCCCATGCTGTCTTTTTTTTATCTTCTTCTTTTTATGTGCATAACCTCTTTATTACTATTGAGAGGTGGTATTTTTACACCAGCTTTGTTGTACAACTTCTCAGGTGTACATGTATGTGCACATAAAATGAAGTAGACCATGTTTTTTTTGTCCAGGCCCATTAAATGCTAGTGTGTACAAAAGATAAAGACAAACAGCAAGTTGATTGTAATGTTTTTATTGTTGGCAGGGTGCGTAAGCAGTTGGTGAACATCCCGTCCTACGTGGTGCGTGTGGACTCTCAGAAGCACATCGACTTCAGCCTGCAGTCTCCGTTCGGCGGTGGCCGTCCCGGACGCGTCAAGAGGAAGAACATGCGTAAGGGCACCGGCGGCGGTGGCGGCATGGACGACGAGGAAGACGAGGACTAACTCTGACGTCTGACTGCCCCTCCTGTAGGGCTCGTACTGAAGACATGCCCAGAATAAATACATCTGAAATGTACAGTCTGCTGTCTTGTGTTGTCTTTGTACCACACGTGTCCTCATTGCTGTAGGGTACAATGGATTTCTAAGTGGAGGATGAAACCACATAACCACACAAACAGCCACAGGCAAGTTGAGCTGCCCTGGTTGTGAGTGCTGAACTGCAATGGAGACAAAAGAAACATACCATCCCTACTAATATTTAAAACATTGAAAACGTTCCACCAACACTCCGAATCCTGCTAGTTGATCTAAAATACATCAATATGTTACATAAGAAGCCCACATTAGTGGAGTTTGAGGTTTTTATGTTAAGAAGAATGTGCTTTTTTTTCCCTACAATATCATAGCTTCTCCAATGGCCTGGTCAGTCTGCCATAAGGAATTTACTGTTCATGTCTCGTGATCAAATTAGTAAGGATCATTTGTAGTGAACTTAGTAAAATCCGAATATTTCCTAAAATTCTTGTGTGATGCTACTTAAATTCATGGCAAACCAGACCTTTCCATACCTTTGGCTTTGCAAAATGATATGTTCACTAAGTTGCACTAAATCAGGTATGTGACACCAAGTTTCTGACTGTACAGCACCAGTCTTTGTTAAGGAATGGACAATCTGCATCACATTAGTTCTACCTAGCACTACAATGACAACATTAACCTATGCTGGTCAAGTTCTTAATTACTATATCTATTTGACATTGTAAGGGCCTTTTGATTCCTTCAGTATGGCAGGTATGACCTGAACACTGTCAAACTACCCTTAACCATGGTTTAAGGAGTACATGCATGTAAGTCAGCAGCACATGTACTAGCCGTGATAGCCAATTGTTTCAAAATGTTAGAAACATTTGGGTATTATTTCTTTATTGCACTATTTCAAATGTACATCAGCAGGAGGAGCATAACTACTTCCCATTTGTCACATAAAAAATTGAGAGACAAAATATGAACATCTAAATGAGGTATATACAGACATATACAAAGTGATTGAAATATATACACAATGTCCATACTGATTGCATCCAGTCAAGTCAGGTTCAGTGTATATTCAAGACCCGGAAGGGGAATTGTTGTTAAGTCTGATGGTGCAATACAGGAAAGACTGCTGCAGTCGTTTGGTTCTTGCATAGGGAACTGAGATGTTATGACCGTTCCTCAGTGCTCTTCCTGTGGCAGACTGTCTCTGGGCAGGAACCAGGGGGTGCTCAGGACTCAGCATGGCCTTGAAAAGAGACACAGCAGCGGCCTCACTCCTCTACTTCAGGGACGGTAATGTCAGTATGGAACGCCTGCTGCCGCGTGAGATAATCTGGAGGGTACGGTATGGATGGGACGTTAGGCCATGGTGGTGGTTGGCTGGTGTTCGAAAGTATGTCGGGGCGAGGTTGGCATTCAAATATAACTCAAATTCAAAAGGTAAGCGTGGCCTAAACCTGATCTGACTGCACCTGAACTTGAGGTTTGCTGCTGTTTGGAAGAAGGTTCTGAATGTGTGACAAGCTTTAGCTTGCAGAATGCACTGTCTCCTACTCCTGTATGCCCTAACTTAGCAGCTTTACTTTTAGCCAACGTACTGATCAGTACCTGTGTGTAGCCAGCTCAAAAACATTACAATTAGAAAGGCTGCTTGGCCAAAGAAGATCCAAACCCCCATGGTCGCCCTAGGAGGAAATGGTCTGACAACATACAGGAGGAACTCCACCACCTGAACTTAGGTAAGATCAACCCACAGGACAGAGACATGTGGCGAGCTGCCATCAAGCCCCAGATGTACAGTGCAAGCACGTCTCACCCTCAGAAGACAGGGAACAACAGACAATAAACCGGACAGTTAGTGAGAGTGAGTGAGCTGGGACAGACTTTTGAAAGAAGCAGCCCAGGTTGTTGCCAAACACACGTGTACATACCATACTCATCTCTCCCTTTTAGCACATATTCCACCTGAGGTAGGAGATTGGTCAGACCCAAACAACATTTGATCTTTCTGTTCTGCACACTGTTCAGAAAATCTTTGAGGAGGAGGTCCATAAGCAATTACTGGACTAGAATATCTACATGTGTATATCTGCTTAATACACTGCAGGTCCCTTTAAGTCAGGCCACTCAACTATAAAAATTACTGATAAAATTATACAATGTCAATAGTTGTAAGTTGATTGGATCTGTTTTCTCAATCTGGTAAAGGCTTTGAAACACTGAACCACAGTCTTACTTTAACAATAGTAACCTGGATTGGCCTGGAGGGTCACTGAACTGGATTGGTGTACTTCATCACAAGATGGCTGGGTAACCTCTTCATCTTGCAAGAGCTGATTTCTTAGGGGACTCAGCATATACATGTTGTTTGTACACACAGGACAAAATGTTACATTTGTTTAGACAAAAGTGGATAACAAATACAATGTAGTAGAAACAAATGTCAAAACTGAGTCACTGTCCATTACTCCTAGCTGTTCCATTGTCTGTGAACCTTGGTCTTTATGGACACCATTCTCACAGAGGTACAGCTACTGGGTATCGCTATACACAAAATTTGTCTGTTTTAAAGAATGAACATAAAAACAAAGTTGTTCAATGTGCATCACTGCTGGCTTGCAGTACCAACAGGCTTCACTAGGAGGCTCTCTAAGCCTATGTCCTCTCCTTACAGTGCCCATGTCAGATGCCAAAGAAAATGTCAATTTTAAAGAATAGGTATTGGCACACAATTACAAAATTGTCCTAAATCAAGTACAATTGTAGCCTGCAGTACAACCATTTAAAATGGCTGCAGGTGTGGGTAAGTCAGACTAGGCCTACTCAGAAAGGTGTCTCCTTTAATACCTAAAACCTACTCAAAGAGCAACCATATACATGTACGAAAGCATGGTAAGATCACGCATGGAGTGTGCCCCAACAGTATGGATGTCTGCTTGCAAAACCGAGCTAGCAAGGCTTTACTATTCAAAAGAGAGCCTGGTCTGTCCAAGATGCGCATACAACTTTTGGGACCATAGCAGAACAGGAGTTGGATATATACAAAACTGTGGTCATCATTGTGGGAAAGTAAACCAGAGCATAGAAGAAGGAAGAGAACCTGAACAAATCAGCAGTGACAGATAACATCAGGAGAATCATAACTAAATAGACTTGGAATAGTCAGACAGAGACAGAGAGGACAGTAGATGTAACGTTACATGTTGGAGTAGTAAGGAGGCTGTATGGATGGCAGGATATCTACAGTCATGAACCGGGACGAGGGGGAATAGAGTCCCACGGTTTGGGATCACATTCTTAAGAAGTAAGAGTTAAATGACTACCGGTATCATGTACATATTGCACTCTAGTACGTTTGGAACCTCATTGTGAAATCTGTTCTCTGCAACTGCTTTTGTTTAATAAGTGACCACAGTTTTGTATGTATCCAACTCGTTAGTTTATATATCCAACTATGTTTGAGACCGCATTGTAGATATAGTTCTCTGTAATCACGCATATATGAAGATATGTTAATATTATACATTTTGGAATTCATTTATAGCAGCGACACCTGTGCTGCAAATGCAATGTGAACCAGTCAGAATTGCCCTGAGGAAGGTGACAGACGGTCACCGAAACGTCGGCCGAATAAAAGACTTTTGTGGAGAAAGTACATTTTGGAATGCATCTATAGCAGCGACACCTGTGCTGTAATGCAATGTGAACCAGTCAGAATTGCTTTGAGGAAGGTGACAGATGATCACTGAAACGTCTGCTAAATAAAAGACTGTTTGTTGTGGTTGTGTAGAAAGAGTCTCTTTACTCAGTGACTTACCAACCTGATGAAACTTATGTCAGCTGGTAGTATGTTGTAGTAAGTTGTGCCTGTGAATGTGAATGTGCGTTGACCGGCTGTGGTAGTGTAATTGCGTGTGGAGTAATGAGGTTTGTCTGGTATTGTACATGTAGTTGTGTAACAGGTGGTTGTGTGGTAGTGTGTTGTAGTAAGTTGTGGATGTGTGTTGACCGGCTGTGGTAGTGTAAATGGATGCGGAGTAATGAGGTCTGAATGGTGTTGTAGTTGTGTAACAGGTGGTTGTGTACAAAAGTGGTGTCCAAGTGTGACAGGGGAAGCCCATGAATACAAACCATTTACAAACCATTTACAAACCAGTGTCTACACACTTGTACCTTTCTTAGTTGCTATATTGAAGGACTCGTATTTGCTGCTGTTTAGTGATACAGCAGTTTTCCAAGACATTGTCACAATAATCAAATGGTGGTTAGATCAGTGTCAGTATACTAGTATGTTCACATCCTTAACAAACCTATTGTCTGGGACACCTTGCAACAGACCATATCTATGTGTTTTGTTCCGTGTGATGTTACAGTCAAGGAATTAAGTTGCTACACTTGCTACAGTTTCCTGAACAATTTGGATTTTCAGAGTTGGCACAGCTTTAGCAAAAACTTGTGCCAAAAAGGATCCATTTTGTCTAAATATCAACATTCAGTATTATGCAGTTTAAGTGGAAGAAAGTGGCAAGAAAATAGCAGTGTTGTCTGCATAGAGGCATATGTTACATATCAAAGAGACAGTTACAAATTATCTCACAAATCGTCAACAGTCTCTCTATATATTATATAAATGATTGTACCTCTGACCCATTTACCATTGAAGTTCAATCTATGGGCCCGTACTTTTCAACTTTTTCATAAATGATCTCTATGACCAGTATTAAACCCAGCAGTAAGATCTCTATCCTGATGACACAACTATATTCTGTGCAATGCAACAATGATCCCAGATGCATAGTTAGCACTAAATTCAGAACTCAAAACAGATAGCATTCTGGTTGAAAACAAATCTTAATGGAATGCATTATGAAGACAAAATTTTCTCCGAACTTGTAATAATCAAAATCTATGACAATGTTTTAGAGAATGGGTTGCAAGGTCTTCAACACTGGTTAGGGTCGTTGACTCAGAATCTTAAGGTTCTAGGTTTGAGATCCTTGCAAGTTCAAGTGTTAAATATACAGTGCTCTTCAGCAAGGC